CTATCTCCTTCTCTATCACTCCTATCTGATCTTGCTCCGAATCTTCTGTAACCCCTTGCGTCCTAGTGGCTTCCCGCCTTGCTTGGGGGGAAAAGCTTATATATATATATATATATATATATATATATATATTGATTTAAAAATATGGTTTCATCGCTACACATGAATAACCATGTTTCAAAAACAGAAGCTAAAAACTTCAAATTCAATTATATAATTAAATTTAAACCATTAGTTCTATTTCATCTTCAATCGAATTTTGAAATAGCTTATTTTGAAATTTACTGAGTTTTAAAAGCTCATACATTCATATTTTTTTTGTTTCTAAGGATACAGAGAAATCCAATGTTTTAGACAGGGTCGGTAGCGTGTTTATTTTTATTAACTATTATTGTATCAATTATGAGTTACGTCCGAAAAGAGGTTAAGTCTAGATCGGGTAGGGTGCCTTGTTCAACGAACTATGACATCCGTTCAACGCGTGTCGTCTATTTTTTTATCAATCCCAAAAAGTTTTTTGGCATTTTTCCGTTAAATTCATATAAAGATTTTTTCTAAAAGGGGTGTTTGGATTAGAATAAGTTGTATTGAACTACTATTTTAAAATATTATTTTTACTTTTAATTACTAATAGACTATATTTCTTTTTTAAAACAAATAAATATAATAGAATTACTTAAATCTTCTAAAAATTATTATTACATATCAAATGTAAGTATGTATATTATCAGCTCCTTTTTATTTTAAATTTAATTTTTAAATATTATTTAAGGAAAATTTTTGACAATGTCGGCGAAGAATATCTATTTCATTACTTGATTCAGTAAATGTTTATTTTTTTATAAACCTAGTAATATATAGTTTCTCATGTATGCACAAAGGACATGGGCCATTTAATGACCTACATATTCTAGCTTTTCTTATTAATTTTCATTCTACTGTAGGTGTTTTATTGGTTTCTTTTAAGTACCAGAAATATTTCGATAATGACGTCTGATTTCGGTATTTTTTTTATCCTAAATGAACTTTGATGTTGATTGAATCTTTTCTTGAACTCATATCTTGTGCAACCTATATAGATTTTTATGTCGTTAGGATCCTCAATAAATGAGATATTGCATTTGTACACTATTGATTCCGTGCGACATTTATTTTGGAGAGGGCAGTTATGAGGATTTCTGTAGTTACATAATTTTTGTTTATCTTCATCTCTTTTTATTTTTATACTGTCTAAATTTCTTTGGTTTTGATCTAAGTGTTTATTCAAGATATTAGCATTATGTTTCTTAATAATTTTCTCTAAGTTTTCAGTAGAACTATAATTTAATTTTAGCTATATTTCTTGAAAATATGACTGAGTTTACTCTCTTTAGGAAAATGTTTAATTACTAATGCAATTTGGTTGTCCTAATTTGTTCTTTACCATTTGGGTGTATGGGGGTGTATACAAAATTATTTTTCTGCTTCTGTTTTTTCTATGCCTTCCATTTTCATTTTTTATATAAGTTAGTTTTGGGCTTTTGTAACCACTATCTTTAAGAGCTTTATTATAGAAATTAATATGTTCATAGAAAATCATGTCATTTGCTGAATTTGTACTTATTCTTTTTTCGATAGATAAAGGTATTTGCTTAATTATAGATGGAGGGTGATTAGATTTGGGGTGTATATACAAAGGATTAGTATTGTTTTTTATGAAGTATGTATACATTATTCAATAAATCTAATGTTATATTAAAGAAGTTAACTTTTTTCAATTTAGTGCTTACAGAAATTTTTAAGTTAAGGCATTTCAATTCTTTATATAATATCTTTCTATTTTTTTCGATTTTAAAGTTAGTAAAGTTCTTTATAACCATATGTCCATCGTCTGTGTATAAACCAATGTCAGTTATATTAATTTCACGGTACGCCTTGAGATTGTATAATATAAAAATAGCTATAAGATCAGAAGACTCAGCTGAGTCTAGTGATTCCATTGTAGTGTCAAAGTGGCTGTAAGAATTTTTACAATTGCTCACTTTTATGTACCAGTACCAATTTTTTCGCATTTACAATAATGCTTCTTTCTTCTCCTGTGTACTCGGTAGCAAAGTCCAACGCATTCATGAACAGTTCTTTTTATCAATGAATTTCAAAAGAACTGTTCAGTAGCGTTAAAAAAGCACATAGAATTTCAGTAATATATATTTAATCTAAGATACAACGTCCCAAAGGTTAGTTTAACAATTCGACAGATTTGTTGTTACACGATTGGCCAATTTTTGTTATACGGGACATATATATATATATATATATATATATATATATATATATATATATATATATATATATATATATATATATATATATGCCCGGATCGAAACCTAACCGATTTAGTGTCAGTCAGAGCTTCTACACTGAGCCATCTTCACTCGACAGAATGAGTCAGCCAAATCTAGCGTATTGTTTTACAAACATAAACAAACGCCAAGCAGCGAAAGTGCTCCATTCATTTTACCGAAGAGCTTCGCATTTACGCAGGTGACCGTTGTTTTTAGAATTAGCTTGTAATTCAACAGTGCTCAGTTGAAAATATATTTTCAAGAGGTATATATATATATATATATATATATATATATATATATATATATATATATTTATATATTTGTGTCAGTCAGTGTTAGCCCAAATCATTAATTAATCACCATTTTGCTATAACAATAAAATTACGTTGTTTTATTTTATGCATTCGTTTCAACGTTTAATGCGTTTTGATATGCCCTGAGAAAAAAAAAAAAAGAAAAAAGTTGAACCCTCAGCTACGTATGTACCATGACTTCAAATCTGTATTCATACCAAATCGATGACCTCCTTGGTCGTTTTTGGAAATATATTAATCATAGATAAAAAGGATATGATTACAAAAGAGCATGACCCCATCACCCACAAAAAAAAAAAAAAAAAAAACTCGAGTCAGTGTTCGAGCAGCATATGAACAGTGTAGACATCAATATGACCATAATATATATATATATATATATATATATATATATATATATATATATAATTCCTGGATTCTGCTTGTGCCACAATATCACACTTGAATGTGGTGTTTAATTCTCTTTCCCAGCGATTACATTTTTTTGAAGCATTTCCCACCAAGCAAGTCGGGAGTGCCACTAGCACGCAAGGGATTACAGAGAGTGTGAGCGAGAGTAAAGAGGCGTGATAGAGGAAAGGATGAAGAGAAGGACAGGGAATAAACCAAAGCATCTGGAGGTATCGATTGACTTACATTTGAATAGTTGGAGATTATAGCTATCAGGGTAATAAATAATAGGAAAGGAATTCCACAGACGGGAAGTGCGCGTGAGATGCCAGCCTAGTAGCACGCTTAAATTCATACAGTCTGGGAACTAGCGAAAGTAGCCCGTGAATCTTAGAATTTATAAATCATGTTTTTCCTATAAAATTTGGAAAGCAAGGATATAATACCACAAAGACAGAAGGTGGTTGCAAGAAGAGAATGAGAAGTGTTTAGTGAGGAGAAAGGACAATAAAAGAATAGCTTTCAGAACGACAATAGATGGTGATTGACGCTGCATTTAAATTTTGGAAGATTGTAATTATGAGGGAAGCAAGAATTCGGAAGGGAACTCCCCAAGTCAGAAGTGCAAGCAAAGAAACTTACGGTTGCGTCTAGCTCGTTCAACAGTAAAACGATGAAACCTAATTGCCAATCTAGTATCACGATTAAATTTATGTTGTCGACGTACAAAGGAGGAAAGCTCATGAGAACAATTGCTAGAAATATAGAAAAGCCAGAGGGAAGCCAAGATACGGCGATAGGAAAATCGTGATATTAGATCAAGATCAATAACATTACTAAAATTTCCATCCCGTTCTTTTGTGTTTACACCTCAGTTCAATGTGGCTGACCCAAGTTTAATCTCAAGCTGTGATCTTTTTCAAAAAATCGCATTCATATAAGAGCACTCAGTAACGACGTTCAAACGATTGTAATTATGATCCCGGCTGAGATGTTTAAGAACACATTTTGAACACCTCATAAATTGCGCCTATGACATCTGACCCTTTAACCGATCACAAAACAACATTCAGCAACGCTCTACCTTAAGTGTCTCTGGGCCTTGTACAGGGTGAACTTTATTTTTAAAAGTCTTATGAAGGTCAAGCGTGACACGCACACGGACACGTACACAAAAATATTCTGAGGATCGCTTAAGACGTGATTCTTAGTCACAATGTGGATTTCTTTAGCGACACCCTTTGTCTCTCTCTCTCTGCTTCTTGTTCTCACGCTGCGTTTATCTATCTATCTATCTATCTATCTATCTATCTATCTATCTATCTATCTATCTATCTATCTTATTCTATTCATTATGCATCTATCTATGTATCTATATCATCCTTTTCATTATCTATCTTTCTATCTATCTATCTCAGAGTGAAATTTTCTATCTATCTATCTATCTATCTATCTATCCCAGGTTGAACTTTTCTTTCTTTCTATCTTTCTTTCTTTCTTTCTTTCTTTCTTTCTTTTTGGGTGACGAATAATTCTCCATCCTTCAACCACACTCCCACAGGCGGGATGTGGTAAGCCTATCGCTGCTCTACCGCTACTACTACGAGAAGTAGAATTCTATTTCATTTTATTCCCTATCTATCTATCTATCTATCTATCTATCTATCTATCTATCTATCTATCTATCTATCTATCTATTTCAGACTATGCATTATCTATCTATCTATCTATCTATCTATCTATCTATCTATCTATGTCTCTTCATATATATCTATCATCTATCTCATACTATTCATTATACATCTATTTCATTTTATTATCTATCTATCTATCTATCTATCTATCTATCTATCTATATCTGTTCATATATATCTATCATCTATCTCATTCTATTCATTATACATCTATCTATCTATCTCAGACTATGCTCTATCTATCTATCTATCTATCTATCTATCTATCTAGCTAGCTAGCTAGCTAGCTAGCTATCTCAGACTATGCACTATCTATCTATCTATCTATCTATCTATCTATCTATCTATCTCAGACTATGCATTATCTATCTATCTATCTATCTATCTATCTATCTATCTATCTATCTATCTATCTAAGTCTCTTCATCTATATCTATCATCTATCTCATTCCATTCATTATACATCTATTTCATTTTATTATCTATCTATCTATCTATCTATCTATCTATCTATCTATCTATCTATCTATCTATCTATCTATCCCAGTCCGTTCATATCTATCTATGATGCCTGTCTACTCGATTTCCAGAATGATTTCATATCTAGAAGCATGGATAACTAAATTTAACGGTTGATTTCATATGTAGAACCATGGCTAATTTTCATCGATAGCAACTCGTCCGTTCGTCAGAAATATGTTTCAGTCTTATGCAACGTATCCAACAGTATCGGATGTTTGTGGGCGTTCCACTTCTTTCACGGAATTAATGGATGTCCTTTCATTTTTTTTTTTTTTTTAATTTCGAAGTTCATTCATACAGATTCCAATGTTAATACATTGTTTCCATATTGTGTTGAATGCATCCGATAGAGTTCAGCCCCGGTTACATGTGAGGGTGGAGGAGTCATATTAACGCTCTAGCAGAACAAAGGCAACTCTCGGACCAACAACGAATGTGCATTGCAACAAATTCACCATCCCACCTGTTTCTGCATTTATATATGTAAATATATTTAGGTATGTGGGTGTAGAGGCAGAACACATTTTTTTAGAACTTTCCCTTTCTGACCATGAAACCAAGTTCGAATCTCTCCAAAGTCAATTTGACTGGAAGGTAACTTCTTGATTTTATCGGGCTAGGTAGTCTATCCCTGGTACGTTCTACAGGGAAGCTTATGATAACCGTACCTAGAGATGACCTAAGTCTTGTGGGTTAAATCTGAGTGCTGAACAAAGACAAATGTACCTAGTCAGGTGGCTGCAACAGAGATTGACTAGCAGCCAGGTGAAATTGGAAAGGTGGGTCCAATCATTATCATTATTATATATAGTTATACTAATATTTTTGACTTACACATTTACAGCGACAGGAAAAAAATACAAAACTGCTATTTTTATGTATAATAAGTGGGATTTAAAACAGAGAACATTTATGTAAGTAAAAATTAACATACAAAATAATATATATATATATATATATATATATATATATATATATATATATATATATATATATAAAAAAGAAAGAACAATAAGATATAAAATCCGGTGTTCTTATAGATATTTTATTTTTACAAAATAGTGCTCAATGTAAATTTACAGAGCATTAATATTATAAATTAATTGATTTAAAATATAGTTTTTTTCGCTACATAGTTCCAAAAAAAGTTACTCCAAAATTCGCTTGAAGATGAAATGGAACTAATGCTTTTAATTTAATTGCAAAATTAAATTCAGGTTTTTTAGCTTCTATTTTTGAAACATAGTTGGAACTGTGTAAGAAAAAAACATATTTTAAATCAATTAATTTAATATATATATATATATATATATATATATATATATATATATATATATATATATATATAAAAATGCATATAAAATTATATATATATATATATATATATATATATATATATATATATATATATATATAAAAGATGTGTTTGATAATCCGTATGGATGATTCCAGGGAGGATATAATCCAGAGAGCTTAATGTAAAAACAGATCGAATATTAATTATATTAAAAACAGACAACTTTAAAGGTACTTGGGATTATAATTTATTTCCTTAGAAATGTTGATCTGAGGAATTACAATCGACTTTCGATTCTAAGAAAAATATTACAATCACCATGAACACTTAAAGCTGTCTGTTTCTAATATATATATATATATATATATATATATATATATATATATATATATTAAGAAATGGGCAAAGTCCGACAATTTATTTATTAAAGACATTTTTATGTTTAACGTTCTTTTACTTAAATACTTGTATCTATAAAAAAGAACGTTAAACATAAAATGTCTTTAATATATATATATATATATATATATATATATATATATATATATATACAAACAAACATATATATATATATATATATATATATATATATATATATATATTTCGGCAGTATGTTTTCATTTAGACATATTTCATTGAATAAATTTAGACAAATTTTGTTACTTATTTCCACCTGATCCTTTCATATTCACAGACAAGGTTTTAGGTGTCATTATTAAAGGAAGAGGGGAAATTTTGGTGTTGATACATTTTATTTTATTCAGAGTACTTTCGAAATATGCACAATGTCATCATCAGGGTGGCGTTTATTTCAAGACAAATATTGTAGTTTTTTTTTATCATTTTCAAATACATAATTGCTGTTTTCATCTGAAAATTATTTATGTATTTTACTTTTGTAGTAAAGAACACTGATTTGAGTAGAGTGTGATTGGCTTGATTCATCCTTCAGGGAATGTAACTAAATTATGGTGTTGTCGAGAATTTCTTTTTAAAATAAGTATTATAACAACTAGTACGAACCTCGAGATTTTAAACTGTCTACTATAAACATTTCAAATCATTTATCCAGTATTCATAATTAATTTTATTAAGGGTTGGTTTCAATATTTTAATATAGATATCTTCAAGAATTTTTAGTTTATGCATATTATTTTTATGAAAAATTATAGTCGTATTTTAAAGAAGAATTTTCTGAATTGCGAATGTGAACAGACATGCTAGAAATGTTGGATGCATTATTTAAATGAAAACCCAGCCTCTAAGACAACGCTGTTATAGTGTGGTCAACATAAATTTTATTTTTTCCGTTGGAGATACAATCTCCCAGAGGACACTAAATTTATATACAATGTTGGTTTTCTGAAACACCTTAGTTGGTCGATACAAATGCTCGAATCAGATATACTAAATTTAGCGTAATATATCCCTATTGTGGTATTGTTAGTATTTATTATTTTTTAGGATATTTTCGTCCTTTTTAATTAGAATGTATTTAGTTGCGATATAAAAGATTAATTTGAGGTGAAATGACGAAGTTTTATATTCGATTTGCTTTGTATTAGAATTTCTGATAGAACATCTTATTTGTTCATCAACAATATAATTAGGGAAGTTATTCTTAATAAGACTTTGCTTCATATTTAATATTTGTATTAATTTATATATTATTATATATATTTAATATTTGCATTAATTTTAACTTTCAGAAGACGGCAATTTTGTATTTGAAAATGATGGACACTACAATATTTGTTTTGAAATAAACAACACCCTGATGGTGACATTGTGCTAATGTTGAAAGTAATGGAAATAAAATTATATGTATCAACACAGTAATTTTCCCTTTAAAAATGACACCACAAATCTTGTCCATGAATATGAAAGGATCCAAATGAAAATAAGTTTGACAAAACTTGTCTAAATTATTCAATGAAACATCTCTCTCTCTCTCTCTTTCTCTCTCTCTCTCTTTCTCTCTCTCTCTTTTTCTCTCTCTCTCTATATATATATATATATATGATAGAAAATATTAGTAGGATTTGATAATTATATTTAAGTGATTCATCGAGTCTGAAAGAAACCTCAACAGAATGCAGAAAGCACTGGACGGCCGTTTCGTCCTATATATTTGACTCATCAGCAGTGCGCATTCACTACCGAACAGTCACGTTATCAGGCAAACGCCATACCAATGTGTGTGTATATATATATATATATATATATATATATATATATCAAGCAGTATTCTTTTCGAAATTGTCGACACACACACACACATACATACATACATATATATATATATATATATATATATATATATATATATATATATATATATATATATATATGTGTGTGTGTGTGTGTATGTGTGTGTGTGTATACATACTAAGTTATAACATCGTCACTCACTTCCGTTGTTTCTAGCAGTGCTTTAAAGGAAAGTACGTAGACTGTGGTCGGCTCAGAAAACATCAGTAATCCTAACTAGTGCAGCATTTATTGCCTAGTATATATATATATAATTATTTTTTATAAAAAATTATAACATAAGTATGTTATAAAATCACTACAAAATAGCCATTTTTTTTTCAACACACTCTGTGTCTTATCAAGTGATGATGTTGAAAAGAAAATAAATAGTTTTAAAAGTTTCAGATTAATTAACGATCCTACACTTTCTTATAATATATATATATATATATATATATATATATATATATAATAATAATATTATAATATATATATATATATATATATATATATAATAATATTATAATATATATATATATATATATATATATATATATATATATATATATATATATATGATAAAGAATAGTTTTAAGGTTTGTTATATTTATACGTGAAAGTGGTTAATATCAGTAATATAGCGTATGTAAATACAAAAGTGAACATTGAAGTCAACACCCAGAGATGACAGTCTGTTTCCTGCTTGAACACAATTATCAGGCCTGAAGATTGCGCACAAGAATGTAAAACACCCCTCTCTCTATGTATACTAAAAAAAATTGCAAAAAATTCTTACTCCCTTTTAGATATTGAATTGTATCACTTTGTGTCCTCCATATATTCGTTGATGTTTCAGCTAACCTGATGAATATTTATCAGCACTACTAAACTCAAAAACTTTGAAAACCCAATGACATTTTGGTCTTTTATATAAATGCTTTTTAAAAAATAAAATCCTCACATTTGCCTTGATAAAGTCCCACAGTGGACAAAACGCGTCGGCTCCTTCGAAGTAGTCCCCTTCTGAAGTCACACACTTTATCCAGCGTCATCTCCGTTGATGGAAGCTTTCCCGGAATTCTTTTTTTGTGATAGAATGCAGCTTCCCTGTCTGTCGTATTCTCTTGGATTATCCTGATGTCTTGAAATGGGATTTCTTTTCAACAGAGATTTGATTTTTGAAGGGGAAAAAGTCACAATGGA